ATATGTAAGACTGCGTTCTTCCATTTGTGCAACATCTCTAAAATTAGAAATATCCTGTCTCAGAGTGACGCTGAAAAACTAGTTCATGCATTTATTACTTCCAGGCTGGACGACTGTGATTCATTATTATCAGGAAGTCCTAAAAACTCCCTGAAAAGCCTTCAGCTGATCCAAAATGCTGCAGCAAGAGTCCTGACAGGGACTAGAAAGAGAGAGCAGATTTCTCCTGTTTTGGCTTCCTGTTAAATCCAGAATTCAAAATCCTGCTGCTCACATACAAGGTCTTAAATAATCAGGCCCCATCTTATCTTAATGACCTTGTAGTACCATATCACCCTATTAGAGCACTTCGCTCTCGCTCTGCAGGCCTACTTGTTGTTCCTAGAGTATTTAAAAGTAGAATGGGAGGCAGAGCCTTCAGTTTTCAGGCCCCTCTTCTGTGGAACCAGCTTCCAGTTTGGATTCAGGAGACAGACACTATCTCTACTTTTAAGATTAGGCTTCAAACTTTCCTTTTTGCTAAAGCATATAGTTAGGGCTGGACCAGGTGACCCTGAATACTCCCTTAGTTATGCTGCAATAGGTGTAGGCTGCTGGGGATTCCCATGATGCACTGGGTGTTTCTTCTTTTGTCATGATGTGTTAATGACCCTAACCTCTCTGCACTGAACCATACTTGTTATTAATCTCTGGCCACGGGTCCTGTGGGGCTTGGCGGTGCTACTGCCGTGGGTCTGGATGGGTCTGGGCCCCCTGGCCTTGGTGGGTTCCAGAGGGCGGGGGTGCCTACTGTGGTCAGCAGGGGAGCTGACCCAGGGAGGGGCTGCTTGCCCCTCCCTTATTTCGATCCCCAACTGCCTCCCTCTATTCGCGCCACCACACCCACCCACACATGCAGGGCCTTGGGGTGCAGGTGTGTCACCAGCAGTGTTGGTCAAGTTACTTGAAAAAAGTAATCAGTAACTAATTACTGATTACTTCCCCAAAAAAGTAATCCCGTTACTTTACTGATTACTTATTTTCAAAAGTAATTAATTACTTAGTTACTTTTTAAAAACACGATTTACAACCTGAATAGGTAATAAAGCGATAGATCTTTCAGCCCAATTCTACTTTTTCTGCATAATCCATCATACAAAATGTAATCAAATGGAAAAATCTCTTTTTAAAACTTGTTTTATTAGTTTTAATCTTTTAACTTTATGCATCAAGCAAAGATTAAATTATCTGCAACATTCTCTGACTGGAAGAAATTAGTTTAACATTTAAACCTATTTTCTGCACATAAAATAAAATATTTTTTGTGTTTACACTCAGTCTTTCAAATAGATGCAAGTAAAACACAGCAGAAAATAAATAAAGTCAAAGACTCAGCGGTCCTGTTGCTCTATTTTCACCTGTAAAGCAGGACCATGACAGGCGGAGGTTTACCCCGGTGCAGGTGTGCCGCGGTCAGTGGAAGAATCCGCGAGTTTCTCTGTGAGTTTCTCATTACGTCATAGCTACTCGGTGCTTGTTGGAAGTTTAGGGGTTTTTTCGCTGTAAAAAGAAGTTTTCTTCCCACGCACAGCGGACACTAATGTTTTTGTCACTTTTTATGGAATCAAACTCAAAGTAAGGTCAGTACTTCCACGCTTTAAACGCTGCACGCTCATACTCTCTCTGCACTCGATATGTGATCCATTGTTGATCTGCACACAGCTGTTGTCACTAACGGCGCACTCGCTTACGTCACTGTCATGAGACATTCTCGCAAAAAAATCACGGTTTTAGTAACGCAGTAACGCAGCGTTCCTACGGGAAAGTAACAGTAATCTAATTACCGTTTTTGCAATAGTAATCCCTTACTTTACTCGTTACTTGAAAAAAGTAATCAGATTACAGTAACGCGTTACGCGTTACTGCCCATCTCTGGTCACCAGGGTACAGGGGAGACACTCCCCACCGTCTGTCCCCTTCTGGCCACCTGTGCCTCAATTTTATTCCACAACTTAGACATGCACATTACTCACACTCTCATAACACACACATATTAGTGATGGGATTTCCGGCTCTTTCAGCTCCGAACCGGCTCTTCAGGTTGTTTTGTTGCTTTAATTAATTTATTATTAACAATAATATAAAATTATGTACAAAAGGAATTACTAATGTAAAAAACAAAAGTGGTTTTATTTATATATGTTTATATATAAATATTTACGGTGGCCCCTAGAGACAAAGCACGTACAAACTCCAAAACACATTTCTAGCATGAACTGAACTTCCAAAACAGAGCTACTAGAGCACTTAAATTACACAATTAAAAGCATGAAAGCATATGTGTATTGTTTGTGTATTTATACACAAGCATTCATATATAGTCAAATAATTCTGAGTTTGTACGTGTTTTTACGTGTTTTGGAGTTTGTATGTGTTTTGTCTGTAGGGGCCACCGTAAATATACTTTTATTTATTCACTCCACATAAAATTTAATAAATAAATCATATAATACAAAAACCAACTATTCACATTTCAACTTTTAACTATTTAAATCCATCCGTTCGCTTCCGCTTATCCTTTTCAGGGTCGCGGGGGCGCTGGAGCCTATCCCAGCTGTCATAGGGCGAGAGGCGGGGTACACCCTGGACAGGTCGCCAGTCTGTCGCAGGGCCAACACACAGAGACAGACAACCATTCACACTCACACCTAGTGACAATTTGGATTATCCAATTAACCTATCCCCACAAGCTGCATGTCTTTGGACGGTGGGAGGAAGCCGGAGTACCCGGAGGGAACCCACGCAAACACGGGGAGAACATGCAAACTCTGCACAGAAAGACCTGATGGTGGAATTGAACTCAGGACCTTCTTGCTGTGCAGCAACAGTGCTAACCACCGTGCTGCCCCTATTTAAATTTTCGGCAAAAAAAAGTAAATAAATCTATCTCTCTTCCACAGCATGTCTTTATCCTGACTTCCTTCTCTCACCCCAACCAATCACAGCAGATGGCCCTTCCCCTCCCTGAGCCTGGTTCTGTTGGAGGTTTCTTCCTGTTAAAAGGGAGTTTTTCCTTCCCACTGTCACCAAAGTGCTGCTCATAGGGGATCACATGATTGTTGGGTTTTTCTCTGTATGTGTTACTGTAGGGTCGACCTCACAATATAAAGCACCTTGAGGCGACTGTTGTGATTTGTTGTGTAAATAACACTGCATTGAATTTCATTACAGATCACAATGTCATCTTCAAACATGATTGATCAGGCCAACGTATCACCACTGTGAACATGACCGGGCTCAGAGCTGATCCCTGATGTAATCCATCACTTTCCACATCTAAACACTGTTTTGCTGTCCTCATACATGTCCTGCACCACCCTCACATACTTATCTGTTTTTCCTGACTTCTTCATACAAAGACAATACAACTCTGTTACCTTCTCCATACTCCTCCATCAGCAAACATCACATGTGTAGCACTATTTCTTGGTATGAACCCATACTGTTGGTGTGACTTATCAACTTGATTCCTTCTGTAGTTGCTGCATTTCTGTCCTGTTTTTGGAAATCAGCAGCAGCATACATGCTGTCACTGTCCAGGACTGTGTTAAACAATCTGGTCTACAAAAAGCCCACAGTCCCAGATTTCTCCACGTCATCTGGACCAACCACATTTCCACTCTTCATACATGTCATCACTTGTTCCTCTGCACTTTCATACCCACCATCTGTCCTCCATCCTCTTGTTCTTCATTCATCGGCTGCTAAGTATTCCTTACATCTTCTTAACATCCCCTCGTCACTTCTTAGTCAATTTCCACCCGTCCTTGATAAATGGTCTGTATTTATATAGCGCTTTACTAGTCCCTAAGGACCCCAAAGCGCTTTACATATCCAGTCATCCATATACTCACACACACACACACACACTGGTGATGGCAGCTACATTGTAGCCACAGCCACCCTGGGGCGCACTGACAGAGGCGAGGCTGCCGGACTACCGGGCCCTCTGACCACCACCAGTAGGCAACGGGTGAAGTGTCTTGCCCGAGGACACAACGGCCGAGACTGTTGGAGCTGGGGCTTAAACCGGCAACCTTCCAATTACAAGACAAACTCCCAACTCTTGAGCCACGATCGCCCTAATCTGCTAGAGCTTGATCTGCGAAGCCAACTGATACAAGTCATTTTCTCCTTCCTTCCACAGCTCGGTATAAGCCTTTCCCTTTGCTAGACTCCACCTTCTTCAGCTCCAACCAGCCCTTTGAATACTTTCCTATACTAAAACTAAAAACATTCCCATTCTTCTCACGAAAAAAAGTATTGTGCACCTTAGTCTGCTTGATGTCTCCACTCTGAATCATTTTCACTGGGTGAATTCTGTGCACGGTGCTTCCAGCAGTGTTAATACCATTTCCTGTGCAGTCACTCTGCATTAGTAAATAAGATGAGATAAAATACGTCTTAAACCCATTTTTATTCTTTGGCTCTTGGCCTCAGCGAGACTTAGTTTGATTACAGAAAAAACTAATTCATTTCGTACTTTTTGCTTTACATCTTATGTATTTGTATTATTTAGTTTTGATGTACAGCACTTTGCGTCAGCTGTTGTTTTAAAGTGTGTTATATGATGATGATAAAATTCTTATTCTTCTGTTTTTAAACTAATTTCAACAACAAGTTTCTGCAAAAAGAAAAAGAAACAAACAGAAAATTGAACATGGAGGAAAAAGATCATTGAAATTCTGTAAAATAGCCATAAAGCACAGAAACACGGATTTGTTTCTGTGACAGGACAGTGGGACATAGAGCTGTTCAATAATCACACAGTGACCCACTGTGGCCGTTTCACACACAGCAGTCTGACAGCGCTGTGCAGCTCGACGTCACATGTTGGAGGATTTTCTCTACCATCACGGCATCGATTAGGAATACTAAATAAGTCTTGTGTTGTGACGAGGCTTCACACAGGTAAACAACAGGTAAACAACAACAACAACAACTAAATAAACAGGCACTGCTGTGTTGTCCCAAATCTTTTATTGTAGCTCCCAGAACAGAAAAACTTCCCACTTCAAATCTCCGTCAGTACTTCATGATCATTTAGTCAGCACAGTGTCACACCTGCACACTCAACCATAATCTGAGGGTTATGGCTCAAAGACAGCATGTCATCGAAGACGTGGCCACGCCCCCTCCGCTCCTCTGTCATCATTGATACTTTGTTGCATAGTGTTCATCAGAAGTGGCCTCTGCTTAGCAACAGCGCTGCCTGTGCGCCACAACCATCTGAGACAGGAACGTGACCTGTGACCAGGGCCGAGTACTGAAAACCCAACAGTGTTTCTCTTGTTTGTGCTTCACAGGACAAAGTCAGCAACAGCTTATGGCTTAGTACAAAGCACCGCAAGCATCTTCTGGAAATAAGAATTCTTCTCATCTCTCCAAATTCTTTTTAAAAAATCTATTAAAAAATCTAAAAGTTGTCTCTCAGTAAAGATTCTACTTTTCAATGTTACAAAGGTTCAGTTCACATTGACTCAAAGTTTCAGCAAACAGAAACACCAGCTAGTGTTACAGGAGAAAGAAAAATCAGACATATTCACACGGCTGTTGTTACAGTAAGTGAGGACCACACGTAGTGTTTACTGATTCCTACAGCATTTTCACCGCATCATCATACATCATCATCCTCGAGTGAAGCGAGGTGATTTATTTTTACAGAACAAACAGAAACGATGTTTGAGTCTACATCTGGCCTTCAAAATAAGATTTGACATTATTGTGTGTGTGACAGGGTGGCGTTGCGCCTCTACAGAGAGGCTGGATTTCCACAGGAAGGAGCCACTGTTATAAACGTGGGGGGGCGCTGCCCTCACAGCTCAACAAGCTGAGGTTCAGCTGTGCAAACAGAAGATCCAGCTAGGAGTCGACAGAATACAGTTTGATGTAGTGAGATAACAAAACGAAAAGAGTCAAACACAGTCTGCAAAACTAAACTACAGCTCACACAACAAGAAGGATAAGCAAAGATCTGTCCGCACATAACAACGCATTACTCACAAACACACACACAGTTCATGTGTTAGCATATGGCTCATCCTGGAGTCGACACTGAGTGGTAAATTCACCTGATGCTAAGGAGGAGGGGAGGAGGAAGGAGGTGGGCGACACGCGTCACACCTTTGCATAGAGTCCTCTCTACACTGAGCAGCAGCTTCGGCTCTCAGCCGGCATTTGATTTGGTTGCTCCGACACTTTAAAGTGTGAAGCTTCTTAACGTGCAGCTACAGCTCTTTTTGCTGAGAGGTACAAGACTGTGCGAGTACAACACACACTCGCACGTCACAGGGAGTGGACATCGGCCCAAACACACTCAACTAAAACACCCTGAAAACAGGAAAACAAAAGAATGAGCCCAAACCTGAAAGAAACACAACAAAGGTAAAGGAAGCATGTTAGTGAACATCATCTCACACACTGACACTAAAAGGGAGATTTAAAGGGAGGGATGAAAATGGGGGGAGAGGGGCGATTGTTGCCGTGACAACTCAATCATTTCTCTGGAGAGGGGCATCATCATCTGAGCTCAGATGGTGCTGATGCAATGTCAGTGGGTCCCTGCTCCATCACAGCGGTGACTGCCGTGGCCTACGTTTCTGTGGACGCAAGAGCAGAGAGACGATTGGTCAGTGTTCACAGGTGACCTGACAGGTGATCACTCCCCCTTCATCTCTTATGAAACGTACGTTCTGATAAGGAACATCTGCAGTCACACATCTGTCTGCTCCCAGCTGTTGGCGGCTAATCTAAGCTTTACATCACTCCCACTTTCCCACGCCGTCAGGCTGATTGTCACGTCACTGGTCTAGGCCCTCTGGCCTTCTTCACGTACTTTAAATCTCACTGTGCATCTGTCATTGTTCCTTGCAGACATCTTTGTGCACCCCACCTCCTCCCCATCGCTCCATCTTCATCTCCACCCCAGCGTCTGGACTCGGGGGTCCCACCCTAATCCTCATCACGTTCTGCTGTGATGGTTCCCTAAGTCTGACCGCCTCACCTCAAACTGAGCTATGCACATCATTCCTGCTAATGATCGCTCTTTATCGCAACCCTGTGGATGACAGAGGGGCTGAATCAGGTGACCATGAAGCGCCCCACATGTGCATTTAGTTCCTCAGGTAGGTGATGTCAAAGAAAACAGACTCAGCCTGGACCGGCCTCTGCCACTGCTCTGTGGTCCAGTGTGATGCTCCGTGCACACAGCTGCAGATTAACATCCTTCTATCACAACCAGCTACAGTATGTGCAGCTGTTTAAACACCAAACAGCTGACCATGACTGCCTCCCGACTCATCAGTGCACAGCTAATGAAAGGTCACACAGCAGCTGTGTGACCTTTCATTAGCTGTGCTAAGACTGATTTCCCTGTTCAAACTACGACTGCAGGGAGTCGGGCAGAGATGCATTTTATACGTTCGATTTAGGGAGTTCAATTCTTCAAATCTTCTAATGGGACGTAGAAGCCATGAAACTGGTTACCTGTAGGCTCGTCTTTCCACAGGTCCTCCATCTCAGGAGCCCTTGCTGCTGCAAAAACAGAAACACACATGCTGAAGTAGAGCGAGAACAACACTGAGTCACAGCCCTCTGAAGGCACAGCGAAGGTCAGCTTTCAGGAATGAGATGTGTACCCACTCACCACCACCATGTGCTGCTTCTTCTTCTGCGACTGTAAAAAACAAACATTGAAACAACATTATTCTCCTGCCTCAGCACTGTGTCAGTGCTGATGGAGACATGAGACAGGCTCAGGCTTGTTACAAGTGACCTCCATGACCACTCAATAGTTCCACTGAGGTTAAACTGGACCCCACAGACAGCTCACTCTGAGTGTCAGCACCCACACCTGAGCCATGCTGCTGATGCTACCTTAGGCAGCATCATTAGAAGACATAGCATACATTTACACTGCTATGCTGATGACACCCAGCTCTATCTGTGCATGAAGCCAGATAACACACACCAATGAGTTAAACTGCAGGAATGTCTTAAAGACATACAGACCTGGATGGCCGCTAACTTTCTGCTTCTTAGTTCAGATCAAACTGAGGTTATTGTACTCGGCCCTGAAAAGCCTAGAAATATGGTATCTAAGCAGATTCTTCCTCTGGATGGCATTACCTTGGCCTCCAGTAACACTGTGAGGAACCTTGGAGTCATTTTTGACCAGGACATGTCCTTCAACGCACATATTAAACAAATATGCTTTCCTGAGTTGGAAACTTTAACTGATATGTGTCAGTGTGTACTTTTTCTCAGGAGCTTCAGTCTTACCTGGTTCTGTTTCCTCCTCAGTTATTTCTTCCTCAGTGGTCTCTTCTGTAGGAGCTTCCTCTACTTCAGCTTGCTCCTCAACAGCTTCTTCTAAAGGAGCCTCCTGCTCCTCTACAGGAGCTTCCTCAGCAGCTTCTTCTGCATGTGCTGCCTCCATTTCTTCTGCTGCAGCCTCAGATTCTTCTGCAGCTTCTTCCTCCTCAGCAGGTTCCTCTGATGGAGCAGCCCCCTCCTCCTCCTCTTCTACTGCTGCCGTCTCCTCATAAGCTTCTTCCAAGCGAGCTGCCTCCTCCTCAGGTGGCTCCTCAACAGCTTCCTCTGTAAGAGCTGTCTCCTCAGCCACCTCCTCGTCTGTGTCCTCCACTGAATCAGCGAGAGACTCTTCCACCTCTGCTGCAGGTTCATCCTCGGCCTCCTCCACAGCCTCTTCTGTGGCCTCCTCCGCGGTCTCCTCTGTAGCCTCCTCCACAGCCTCCTCCGCGGTCTCCTCTGTGGCCTCCTCCACAGCCTCCTCTGTAGTCTCCTCTGTGGCCTCCTCCACAGCCTCCTCTGTAGTCTCCTCTGTGGTCTCCTCTGTGGCCTCCTCCACAGCCTCCTCTGTAGTCTCCTCTGTGGCCTCCTCTGTAGCCTCCTCTGTAGCCTCTGCTTCTGTTTCCTCCTCCTCCTCTGCAGGCTGGTCTCCCATCATCTCCTCTGCAGCTGGCTCTTCTTCAGCTGGAGCAACCTGAATCAGCACAGTCACATTAAACCATATTCAGACATTATATGGCCCCAACCAATCACAGCAGATGGCCCCGCCCCTCCCTGAGCCTGGTTCTGCCGGAGGTTTCTTCCTGTTAAAAGGGAGTTTTTCCTTCCCACTGTCGCCAAAGTGCTGCTCATAGGGGTCATATGATTGTTGGGTTTTTCTCTGTATCTATGAAGCGCCTTGAGGCGACTTTTGTTGTGATTTGGCGCTATATAAATAAAACTGAATTTAATTATAGTTTTGCTGCATCTTACCAGCAGGCTGCACCAACTATAGAGAGGGATTCCTGTCACTACAGTGTTACCGGGTCTTTAACCTGAGCCGTGTCTTTATCGCTCAGGCTAACGTGGACGCCGGGCCTTCCCTGCACATGGACCAATCAGGCTGTCAGCATGACTCTGGACCACAGAGCTTCTGTTTATGCAGGGAAAGCCTCACATGAGCCGGTGAACAAACGAAGAACATGGCATTCCCATGGAAGGATGAACTGAGCAGAACATTTATTTATTTATTTATTTATTTAGGACAGTGCATGTTAATGAACATAAATGTAAAAAAAAAATTACATGAATGTAAACATACCAGATTATAGCCAAGGGCTAATTTCCATCTGTTGTCCTAGAGGACACTGGCATTGTTGCCCAGTGTTTGTGTGTTCCTATGTGCTGGATGTGTGAGGGTGTTTCTGTCAGACTGGTTGGGGGACACAGATCATCAGAGACACACCGAGTTTGTTCTGCATGATGTGGCTCAGTTTCCTTCAAAGCTCGCAGAGCCAGGCCTGCCCTCCTGCAGCCCACCCAGCAGCTTTGGGAAAGACACTCATTTTGGACTTTTTACTACATGTTCATAACGTTTAGAACTTTTTCCGTTAATAAAAACACCCCTGGGTCCATTCATACGCCAACGCAATGAAGTGAAAGGTAAACAGCTACATGACAGACGTTCCTGTTTTTTTACCATCTACCATAGAAACATGGATTTGTTTATATCCATGTTTCTATGGATTAAAGAAACAAATTCTAATCTAAAAGTTTCAAACCGAAGTCAAATAAAAGTGAATAAATGAACCTTTTCACCAAAGTGCAGCTCAGAGTTTCAGAAAGTGAAAGAGTCTCTGCTCGACACACTGACACGGCAGCACACTAATAACAAACACACATCACCTCCTCTTCCTCAACGGCAGCATCCTCCTCTTCTGCAGCAGGCTCCTCCTCCAGCACCTCTGGCTCCTCCTCAATCACCTGAACAACAACAGGTAGACCACCAAAGTGTCATCAGCAGGCAGGAAGCGCGACAGAAATAAGAGTGAAAGGTTTGTCAGTATAACCTCATCGGCCTCAGGAGGAGCCTCAGGAGCTGATTCTGATGCAGCTTCAGGCTCTGAGGAAACAAAGTTCCCACTGTCAGATCGTTAAGCACTGCCTGTGCCTGATGTGCCTTTACACACCGAGTATATCTCACTATGACCTAACAGCTGACTCTGCTGTCCACACATACCTGGTGGTGAGGGTGCAGCTGTGTCTTCTGCCACAGCAGCTTCAATCACATCTTCCACAGGAACAGGGTCAGGCTCCACAGCAGCTGAGGAAGCAAACACACGTGTAGATCACAGAGGGGCCTTCATGTGTAACCAAGGACGCTGTGGAAGTGTCCTTAGTGTTTCAGTCCTCGTCGGTCACCTTCAGGGTTGTGTTATCGCACAAAGGCCAACACAGACATTTATAAAGCTCTGGTAGGTCCCGAGTCTGCAGCGAGGTTATTGATACAGCTCTCAGTCACAACGAGGATCGACTTCAGTCCTCATCACTCTCCTTGTTCAGTAACAGGAGTGCAGGCGAACGGTCTCACTCCCAAAGCGTCTCATTTTACAAATCGTCGCTATATTACGCTTCCAGGCATCAACACATCCCAATGTTACGAGATCGGAAGATGAGGAAACATGAGAACCGTTTGGAATGAATCTACACATGTACGTTTGTTTTACTTAAATGATGGTGAGGGATAAGGTCGGGCTGGAATACATGGCTGGGACGTGTACGCTACTGGATCTCATCCATAACTCGGTGCGTAGCATAAGAACGCACAAGGTCACCTTTGGCGTTCCTCAGGAATGCCGCGGGACGTGACGAATCGTCGGGATGTCACGCCTCTGGAGTGAGGACGGACTGTCGCTCTTTTGAATGGAACCGAGTTTGTGGTGTTTGATAGGCATATCCCTCGGGACCAACCAGCCGCTCTATTTGGCCCTCGCCAGCTTCTGACACTGTGAGCGATCTCCGTGTTTTCCTGGACTGTTCATTTAAGCTGGATAACAAGCGTCCTCAGTAATCTTTTACCAGCTGTGCCAAACCTATCCATGCTTTAGTGACTTCCACATTAGGTTACTGCATTTCCCTTCACCCTGGTCTCCAATCAGTCCACCTTCATAGACTTCAGCTTGTTGAAATCCTCAGCTTGTCTCCTAACTGGAACATTTGCTTCCATTACTCCAGTTCTTGACTTACATCGGCTGCCCATCAAATATTGTATTGATTTTAAAATCTTGTTGCTTACCTTTAATATTATAAATAACATTGCGCCCAGCTATCTCGCCGACCTTCTTAGCTTGTATACCCCTGGTCGAGCCTTAAGATCATCTGGTGAACTAGTCTTGGTCCAGCCCGGGTCCCACCTGAAGCCCGGGGCCCACCTGAAGCCCGGGGCGATCGTGCTTTTGTCTCAGCTGCACCGAACCTCTGCAACAGTCTTCCTGTTACTATTCGTGCCTCAGACTCTATTCAATCTTTCAAAACACGGTTAAAAACGTACCCATTTCATTAGTTTCACTAGTCAGTGCCCTTATTTCATCTATTTTAACTTTTTTACTGCATTATTTCTTATTCACCCAGATAATATTTTATATTTATGAACCGATCTGTGAACCGAGGCCCGATATCCATTGTATTTAGCCCACTCTCCTGGTTTAACGAGTGCTTAGTATTAGTACTAGTGCTTGATTTTGCACTCTGTTGATGTTTGATGACAATGACTTACTGTATTATTGTGACGCACTCTGGCCTACCTTTGGTTTTAAATGTGCTATATAAATAGTGCGAGTAGGAAGCACAGCCGTTTGCATCCACATACTGACACGCCTGACTGCACAGGTGGAGTAGAGAACGTCACACTGGTAACAGCTGTGTGTGGATGCAGTCCAGCTCTATTCAAACCACGTCAGCTGTGTTCCTCTGACCCTGACACGGTCCTCCATGTGTCTGCATGGATCCAGCACAGACCATCAGATGTGGGACTTTGGAATAATGTTGTAAATGCATACAACCTTTGCTCCATATTTCAGTCACAGGTGAGTGAAACATGATTGGTGCTGTGTGACCACGTGAACTGGAGGACATGACACACCTCACAGCTGTGTCTGTTCGGGCCCATAAACATGAATAATAATCTTTCTGTGAACTTGTATAATTCTCACTGTGCTCACAGTTGTACTGTCAGTGTGTCTTTTGTGCGCTACCTTCAGGTGTGGCTTCAGGATGAGCGGTCTCCGCTGGTGCAGCGGCCTCCGGGCTGCGGGAAGTGACGACAACATCCTTCTCTTTCAGTCCTACGTGGGATGATGCACATGTGGTTTGCAGGAAGCACGTGTGTGCACAGTGTGTCACAGGACATGTACTGTATGCATATGT